AAAAGCAAGAATGAAAAAGGATTTGATCACTGGTTGGTGTCATTACTAACTATCCTTCAACCATTCAGAATGAATAATCATTATCTCATTATCCATAAAGCTGCAAATAAGGAGTACCATTCAATGACAGTGTGCTTAAGAAACTTTATCGCTTCAATACCATTTTTAATTATTGAAGAGTTATCTACTACTGTAGCAAAGCAAAGCATGTGCTCATCATCACAATGACCCCTCAAGTTTAGAAAATAAAATCATGAAATGCTCCAACCCATCACATCTACTGCTCTACTAATGCAGTTAGCAACTTACTCATTCGTTTCCAAACACTTCAACAATTACAAGTTTCAGTTTGAAGCTATTGGACATACTACCGACCAACCGACCAATCTACTCAGCTAGTACTGGCTTGCAATGCATGAAAAACAGTGAATCCATCCACACAATACCACTAATAACGTCTGTCTACAATAAGCAAATTTACGCTCCCCCTTCCTCACTTTCCAAAAATATTTTCAGTCAGTGATGACCGTGTATGAATCCCTCACACACCTATTACTTATGCGTACCTTTTACTATGTCAAATTGTTTTCTAGATTCAACCACTCTACCACTACTTCTTCAAAAACTACTTCGCCTAATCATCTGTTCCTTTTGCACTAAAACGATTCTCAAGAGTTTGAAATACGCACCAGTTCAGCATAGGGTAATAAATTAACACACAAATAAAAAACATGCTGGTAAATTGACCCCAATCTAGACTAATAATCTAGCTTAATAGTCAATTATAATACTAAACAGAGCACGACCTCGAAAGTTCCATCATTCCTAGCATTCACCAACTCTGCATGCGGATACTGCTTTTCCTGTCCTGTTCTCTTGTTTCTAATAAGTGATAGATATTAGCTGGATGGTACATTCTTCTGTGATGAGAACTCAATATGCACTTAAAATATGTACTGCATAAGCGGTAATATTTTAAGTAATATTTACGGCATAAACGTAAACAATTACAAATGCAAAGATGTCTATTGAGGTTGATAAAATTTCGGTTCCTTCGAATTAAGAAAAATGACTGGGGGCGATAACTAACTCTTCTCCTAAAAACCCATTAAAAGATCAAGAGTAATAACATGTAGTGCTAAAAGACTGCAACAGATTGATTTAATACTGTATAGCAAGTATCAATAAATACATGTGAATGAATTTTAGATCACCATTGCCATAATAATTAGAACAGTAGTACAATCTTTGTGACCAAAAAAAAGTGTAACAAAAAGTTTTGGTTAAATGTCGAAAGGTTCAAGCTTCACATTTAGAGTTTTAGATGGATCACAAGCTGGATAAAATAAAATGTAACATAAAACTTACAACGATAATTCAAACTGAACGAAGATAAGAAATTGATAAACAATACTTTTAACGAAGTCAGTGTATACGACAATTAATAGAGTTCAAAATAAAACAGAGAAACAAAATAACCATGACAATCAGTTGAGGTGCAACAATAAAAGAGATAATTAGTCTCGCTCAGTATTTTATCAAAATCGCATGAGCCACAGTAATATACTACGAACTTAGTCAGCACCAATGCTTGCTGTGGAATCGACTTCAGGGGTTGCAATCTAAGAAAATAAGCGAAGTTCAATTTCAAGAGGTTCCAGACAAATTAACCAAACAAATAATATTAAAATGAAATTACAACAAATGATAGAATACACTCTTATCGCTATCTTTATCATAACTAATAATCTAACTATGACTTGGTGGTTGAAGAATTCGATAAAAAATCACTTACAACTAAATATAGTTTGCTCCTTAATTTTGAAGAATGATGGAAAATTATCTTAATCACACTACGGACTAAAACAGCTTTATTTTTCTGATCAAAAATCAAATAAATTCTTGCAAATCACAATTTTAAAAATTATACTGCATTTACTACATGGTAAGTTTTGACCTCGTCCGTATCATTCCTTTTTTTCTTCAAATTTGGTGTAACTGAACCACTGGTTGCTTCTGAATCATCACTGTTTTTTTCATTACCATCATGTACAGCAGACGTCCGTTTCCGACTCTGAAAATTGCAAATTAAAATAATAAAGCAGTATAGTTATACATTCCAAGAAGGTCTGAGAATTACCCCGGTAACTTTCGAATGCAAAAGCAACTACAAAATATCCACTACTCATGAGTCTAAAAGATTGAGAAAGTCAATCACTTTTACCAGAACTGAGTGCAGTTTGACTGAAAATACTGTGTGCTCCATGAAAGTTAAGATGGATGAAAGTTAAAAAAAATCTGATACTAGAAGGAATTCATCATTATTAATAGGAATTACTTAGTGCAAATCACAGGGTATGAAAGGAAATCAAACATTAGTGGCAGTAATGGAACTTGCAATATCCTCCTGTTCACCACCATTCTTCACTTTCTTGGAGCTACCAGCAAGATGACTACTACCATAAACATCACCATTCTTCTCATCATCCGATACAGCAGTTGATGATCCCGATTTAGTGCGCGATCGACTGCAATTATTCATGGACAATATATTTCTGTATGTAAACAAAAATTCTAGATTGACAATGAGCTAAAAAGTGATCATGAGAATCTTGGTCAATCAATTTGATAACACAAGAAATATGGTGCAAATAAATTATACGCAATCCATGCTCGAGGAAAAATATTACATTATTCGACTAAGCATAACTTTAAGGTTTTTGATAAAAATTTATTATAGCATTGAATACATTTCAAAGAACTTCAAAAGCATGATGGTTTTGGCACAATAATTCTTTCATTTTCCAAACTCATAAATATATAAGAAATTAAAATTAGAATATCCGTAATTGGATAGAGCAACATATATTTTACATGAACTCAAACAAAATATTTATTTAGTTATACGCACCTTCTTTCTTCAGATGAACTTCGTTTCAGTTCCTTAGTACTCTCCAAGTCTTTCCCCTCCACCGCTACTTGATCATCTTCTTCGAAGGCTGCAACCTGAAAATAGCAAGAACGTAGGACAAAAGTAACTGACGCAAATACATTATACCAATTTTTATCTATCAACATTACACATTTAAATGACTAAGGAATTTTTTAACTAAATGTACACATATTTTTCACGTATTCATGAAATAATAGTTATATCAACAGCAACACAAATGTGCGGTTTTTTTTCCGTCTCTAATCAAATTATATGATTAAAGCTGTTCTCTAACATCCGGACAGACAAGAGATCTAACCACTGATTTCCTTTAACAGGGCACTAATGCTTTACTTCCTTGACCACCACCTCTATCCAAATTAAAAAGACTACATAATAACAAAGTAGCACCAAATATATGCACTTTGATTTATGCTGTATTAAACTGTGATGTTTGTCCTTAATACAAATACTGATGATGTTGAACAAAGCTGATTAATACAAGTAAAACTTCCAAATGAGCACATAATACAAGCCCACATACTAACAAATCAATCCTACCTACCAGAACTTAGAATGCTAAATAGAAACAACGCATTACCTGTACAGTTTGCCCATCGATTTCCTTACCACTCATTTTCTCAAGTGCTTTCTTGACGCTTTCAGTAGAAGTATAACTGATGACACTGAAAACAATGTTATTACACATAATTACTGCGTGAATCAGGAAAAGCCCTTCTAATTAGTAAGCAAATACTATTTTCGGCTTTCATAAGCAGAAATTATCTATGTCTCAAGAACACAACATTCAATTCCAACTATGTGTTTTCAAACTTGCATGTAACGCCCCTAAACAATCAAGAATTTTACTATCATGACAGAAAATTATGCTACAAAGTTTTCTATGACAACAAATGCAAGAGTGATTTCACGAACAATATTTGATGAAATAAATTTTTGTTGTGACATGCGCTCGATAATATGCCACTTTAATTCAGTTTGTAGTTGGTACGCTTTTGAACTACGCTAATTTCTCACAAATAATAATGCTGAACAAGAGCTCTGTAATATACTGCATTCAAGATAAATAGTTAAAATAGCAGAGATTTCGAAAATAAAAATATTAGGGATATGATTGCATTGTTTTGATAGATACAATAAATGATTAGGACTGACGTGCATATGCCCTTCACATAAACTTTATATAAGAGATGAGCGGAGGCGTAGTTCTAAATTGATGAAGAAATAAGGTGGGTGTAGAGAGGCCAGTGTATATTTTATTTTTTTAAACTTTGAAAAGTGAAAAAATTGGATACTAGGATATACAGAAAACAGCTAAAATCAAAGTAATAGCTCACGCAGTTGCCTGCTATGGACTAGTTGATACAGATGGAAATAAGAGAAAAAAATATGGAGCGAGAGAGATAAATATGAAGATGGATCTGCGTTGAAAAATTTAACCATCATCAGTGCTGAACACAATCTGTCTGAGAGAAATTGTTACATGGAGTAAAAGAGTGTGTGAATAGCAGATGAGAATAAAATTCCTATGAAAGATAAAAAGACGAATGAATGAATGTGATGAAAAAGAGCAGGAAAGGGAAGTAAGAAAGGTAGTCATTGCTGATAATGCTAAAAAGATGGAGAAGGATGAAAAGCCATCATGCAGTCAGATTCTTCTTCAGTCACAGCAGCTCTTATAAATCGCAACAGGATGTGGCTGAAGTTCGTCATGCATGATAATAGGTCACTGCTTAACACAACTCCTACGCACCCCACCTTTGAATTAGTATAGTAAAAAAGGCAAGTCCCAATATCTTACTTCCCATTACAATCAAATCCTTGCATAACACCATTTACTTTTCCTACCAGTTAGAATCTAGACCTACACAACATACCTTTCCAAAAATATGTAAAACTCAAAATCTATCAAATATATCCATAAATTATTTGAATACGATATGTAAAATAGGCATCATACGTTTCGCAAAATAATAAAAATAAATGTACATCTCAACATTTTTTTTCCGAAATTACAGCAAGTTTGTATTCAAAAGCCTGACATATTCTAATACATGCAACTGAAAAAACTATTGCAGTTTTTTAAATTGCATTCATAACTTATAGTTCGATATCACTACACATGTTTTAGCAAAATAAAAGTGCAACAATGAGTTGAAACATACCAGGAATTATCACTACGCATTTTGAAATCCATCAAATGGCCATACTTTTTAGCAGCATGCTTTAAACGCTGAAATATATATATATATATAACTTCACACAAAATGATGAACCTTAAGAAATCCAGAGTAAAAATCAAGTTAAAAACGCTGCAAAATATTAAAAAAACCATCGAAATCCAGAATCAAGGGGAATCCGGCGTACCACTAGCTTATAATGCATTTCTTTGCATTAGTCGTTGACAACGATCCGAATTTTTAGTATTATACAAAGGAGCGTAATGCGGCTGCAGAACAAATTGTCAGCACCAGCAAACGAAGCGCCAAGTAATCAAAGTCGCATAATCTGAGCTCGGTGTATGCACGAACGAAACGCCATAGACAACAGATACATGGAAGACTTGGATGTGATTGCATAACTCGAAGCATACATACGAACGAACGAACGAATGAACAGATGGTGTAAATGAATGTGGACGGAACGAACGGCTAATGTTTGGAACGCAACATTCAGAATTATGCGCCATTCGAATGATAATGATGTGCTGATGGCAGTAGTGACTGATAAAAGCAAATCTCATCAAATTTCTGAATCCGAAAATTTTGTTTTCAGGACTTAATACAGCAGATGCCATACCGTAACACCTTAGATATTTTAATCTAATGATCGAAAATTGTAACTCGAACAATTTTTTAACAACTTTCACTATGGTCTAACAGAATTCTATTACTAGAAAAGTATCTAACCTTCATATTTCTAATTCTCTATACAAATTTTGGGAATCTTGCACAGAGAACGTAAACTGAACTGTAGAAGAAGCATGAAAAGATTCTTCCAAAACATGCATAGCATTAAACTTAATGAGATAAGTTTTAGTCCACAGATGCAAATGATGAACTAGAGATATGAAAATAGATGATAGATGTTGACAAACCTTTGCAAATTTTCCTCTGCTGTCGAAACCTCGAACAATAATTTTATGCTTGTTCCCTTCACTGCGATCAACACTTCCTTCCTGAAAATTTTCGATCTTAATTTTGCAGCAACGTGGTTCTCATACTTATGAAAATAACTTATCAATCTATGATTGTTTAATGTCACAAATGCTTCATACTGACACTTGAAAACTTCGGAAAAATTTTTTTACTACTAGTACTTTAAAATCTGATGTCAATTCCACTAAGAACGTCATATTTAACAATTTCTCAATTTCGAAATCTATGACGGCGCACACAAACTATGCTGTAAAAACAGAAGAGTAAATTTACAGTTTCCGAACTGCTACGATATTTCGGCTCCTTGCGTTTATCTTTATATTTCCTATCTTCAGGACTACGTGAACGGCTCGATGAACTTCTGTCATGCCTACGTCTTTTACCAGATACTGCTTTTTTGATACTTTTTCTTGGACTTTGACTGAGCGACCTTGATGATGAGCGACGACGATTGTCAGCAAGTGAATCACTATCACTTGATGAATGCTTTCTGAAACTCTTATTGAAAACCCTAAATCAAATGAAGACATGACAATCTTTATCTTTTGATTAAAGAAACAACCAAATTTGTTACTTTACATGCCCAAAAATTTCTGAAGATTTTATATGATACTTGAATTGAGACAAAAAGAACATACCTCTTCTTTCGATCACGACTGTGACTTCGCCTCCGATTGTGACTTCGTCTTCGTTCTCGTGAACGTGATCGCTCACGCAGTCGTTCACGGTACATATCACGTCCTCGAGGGCGGCTTTTGGCATTTTGCACGATAACTCTGAGAATAGCAACACTAGATCAAAACATCTAAATACATACATATGGATACAGTTTTAGCTGAGCCAAGGATTGCCTAAAGTCTATTAATTACGAAAGTATAAAATAATAAGATAAGGATTTAAGCACTTATCGTTTGAAAAATTTCAATCTCAATATGTTATATAGAAAGCTCATCCGTAATGAAATAATCATATCAAGCGACCTGTCACCGAGCAATGAACGGCCATTCAGATCGTGCACCGCATCTTCAGCATCGCGACGATCCGAGAACTCCACGAAAGCGTAACCATTCTTGAGTAAAATTTCCGTAATACGACCATAGCCTCGGAAAAATCGTTCAATATCACGCTCATGCGCACGATACGACAGTCGGCCGACGTAAACTCGAGATCCCATTATTCACTAAAGATAGATTTCCAATGCTTGTCGACGAAAACAGACGAAGTGACAACAAAAAAATCCACAAACTCATTCCAGCAAACTGCAACTCGCAACTCCACAGCACATGCAGGATAAAATACATTAGCATTTCATCCTAAACCAAATGTCAAAGTGATATAAACAGTAGCAACAACTGCCTGTGGTCAGTATGACCGAAATAAAATTCTTAAATTTTGAGCCAGTAATACTATGCTTGCAATTCTAATTAAGACAGTAACTTGAGAGAGATTTTCAGATCATTAATATTTTAAAACTGCTTTTATTTCATGGGAAATTTTTAGCAGCTAGAAGTCATTATCCAAAGCTTTAAAAATTCAGATAGTAAATTTTATACTTCTCTTGAATTGTGTTTCTGTATCTTGAAAAATATGGAAACAACTGGATGTAATGACTTCAGTTACAGTAATTTTATGGACATGATGGAAAGAACTGACTATTGATGAGTGGAATAACTATGAAATTAGTCAGCAATGTTTTTCTTAAACGCCCTTGAGCTTCCTATGCATTGTAAATTTATGCATGATTAAAATTCTTCGTTAAATAAAATATTCTCTCCTTGAAATAAATTAAAATTTTGAGGTAACTGAATCAAAACTGAAAATTTTGTTAAGATTAAATATCACAGAATTCATAAAAGGAATAAAAAATGCAATGATTGAGATTTACAATTTTGAAATATTAATACGTCAAGAATTCAGGTTCATTTCGGGGTTGGACATGGCTATGCTGCAAGCAGCTTGGTTTTCTTCAAACAACTAATGCCGGTAAAAGCATTTTTGGTTCGTCTATCCCAATTGAGTAAGACATTTTTTTAGTAAATAAAGTGAGCTGTAGCATTGATATTTTCCACTTGCTATCATGCGAGACTAAATTTTCCTTTTATTAACTGAATAATTTTTAAGAAAATCCGAAAAGTTCTGGTGGGCAGTTTTGGTAATATAAAGTATTATATAAAAATGAACGACTTTCTTAATTATCTTGCTTATTCTAAGTTTCTGAAAGTGAAAAAGATATATTTTCTTCTTATTTAAAACTGATTTTAGATTGATTCTTAATTTTATGAATATTAACTAAAATTATTTTACGTCCTGTGTTTCAGTCTTCATACTGATCAGTGTATGACTTTATTCGGAAAAAAGTATGACACAGAACAAATTAACGAAAGTGTCTATAGCATTTTATAAAAGTATGGTGGATTCCAAAACTATGCAGTAAAAATTTTGTGCTTCATAACAATAAATAATTGAATATTGAAGTTGAAATTTTTTATCCACATTATTTCAGACACTAGTACTCCTATTTCTGTTTAATATTAATTTTAGGATACTTACACGATATTTACAAGTGGTGATTTTGATCCATGGAAATCATTATGTTTCTTAAACTGTAATGATACGACAAAAGAAGTATATTCAATCATTACTAAAGGTAAATATTCCACGGATATTTTTTGGTATTGAAAATTGAAATCTTTCATATTCTATTTGTATCGTGGAATTTTCTACCTAATACACATCAGTAATATTTTTTACTAAGGAATTGCTAAGAAATTTTTCAGATGGTGCTCATTGTGCTGAAATGTATCTGCACAATATTACTACGTAGCAAGTGATTCAATATCAGTGAAAAATGCTCGGGCATTTATAGAAGAAAAATTGGACGTGTTATTGTGCAAAGTAAACAATCAACGCCACAAACCATGACGACAACAATATCAACAATAACCACTACTAAGGCTTTTTGTGAGTATGGAATTTCCTTTTTCAAAAACTTGGAAATTTTTCCGTTTTAAACATAATCAAGTAAGTTATCTGGGTCAAATCATTTACCTTACTTGATATGCAAATATAACAAGGAATTTTAATAATTTTTTGTTGAATGGACTTGAAAAGCCCAACTATTTATTAAATGAAATGTGCTCGTAATTTGACCAGTAATGCACGTAACAGTCACTATTAGAAACAGAAAGTTATATGATTTCTGTATTTTTAAGGTAATTTTTGTACATATAATACAATTAATACACTGCAAAATTATTAAAGTCAGGCAAAAAATTATCAGATTTGAAGATAATAAATAAATTTGTTATTTCAGCTGCAGCAGATTACATTCGAATTTCATTTCCTTTTTTGGTTCTACTTTCTCTAATCATCACATGCGCTGCTGAACTTTGAGGCTCTGCTCATTTACAATATACAGTCAATGTTAAAAAAATGCTTTTCACAGTAATAAAATGCTACGTAGTAATATTGTGCAGACTTTCACTACAAGCTTTTAATGGAGTTCATTTAATTTCCTCTGCTTCCTTGTTTGTCTAAAAACTATTGTCCAGTCCTGTGTGTTAGTAGCTAAGCAAGTATTGAAACTGACTTTCGGTCTCTTCACCATGTTTTCAATATCATTTGACATTTTTATTTTTAGTATGCATTATTATTGTATCACTTCAATGTCTAATAATTCTTTAGTGAATGCCACAAATGGTTCAGATTATTGAAGTTAGTCAAGAATTAAATTCAAATTTAATCTACAGTGTTAAAGAGGTAAAGGAAAATACCAACAGCAGCATGTTGCAGTGGAACAACCAATGTTTGTCTTCATTACCGCAACTGAGTAAAACAACAGTCACTGTCCATTTTTGCAATGTGAGAATGAGATATGACTGTTGACCTTACTGACAATACAGTCAAGTCTGCTATTTTCGGTATTAGAAATGACAGGATTTTCATGTGAAAACAATTTCTGTTAGACGTCTGGATAGTGGTTTCATCAAACGAAAATCTCGGCATCCATTTTTATCCATGACTATTTCAACCGTGAAAAAATACACTCAGTATGCTTTGGAACGGAACACTCCTTCGTGGCTAATATTGCAGAATGAATGCAAACATTTTGTGCAAAAGTAAAGAAAGAAGAGGCATTGTCCAATTGTATGTATATTGGTTAAAATGTTTTCTGTAGCATGCGAACAGTTAGCCTTTTCAGTACCTGTTTTTGAAGCCATGTTTTTTGAAGCTTACTTTGTTCTAGTCTCGTCAGATAATTCGTGCAATTGCAACGTTGAATAAGTTGCGAAATATGCTGAAGTTTGTAAAATCTTGTCAAGCATGTAAAATTGCCTGCATGTGGGCAGAGTAAATCATATCACAGTAACTGGCACTTCATTCCACTTCAAACAATTTGTGCTGCGGTGAGACAAGTTATGCCCCACGTCTCTTACAACTAATGCAACCACTGCAAGTGTACAAAATTTGCAATGGAACCTCAAACACTCACTACTGGGGGACAGTGCAGACACTGAGACTAAACAACATTTGAAAAAATAGACAGTGCGATAAATGTACACAGCGGTCAAATATCTGGATTCGAAAATATAATAGTTCCTAGCATCACAGTACAATAAAGAATCAACATCCTTTGTAGAAATGACAACTTCTGATGAAAACAATAGCGGTTTCTAATTTCAGTCATCCAAATAGTAGACTGTTGATGAAAAGATTCTTTCAAGTATATGGAACTATTTTCAGTATACTATTCAATGAGTATCGAAACGCAGATCAACTTGCGGAAAAGTGACAAATTAATTAGCATTTATTTTCCATTATAAAGAGATATCTTACAGTATCATACATAGCCAATGATAATTGTTTTTTAATCTCATTATAAGCTATATGATGCCTATATTGCTTGCAGAAAAGCTTCAAAATTAGATACTTATAGAATGCATATATCAACTATAACTTGATACACCAAACAAGTTTGTTTATTGACCTGAACCATGCATCATTCACGGAAGCTAATGTAATATCTACATTGCTTGAGCCACCACCTTCATCCTTCAAACCTTTCTCTCCTTTTGTTCTCTTAAGTCCACCAAGATTTAAGAGCACCTACTCCACCTGGTTCAACTGCAGGATCTGGTAGACCTGTTTAACAGACAGGACCTTTTGGACCTTCATTATCCTGCAAACCTCTCATTTTCTTGACGTCAGATACACCTCCGGAGCTGGGCTCTCCAGTAGGACCCGCTGGACCAGGTAAATCTGGTGAGCCTGATTTCAAATGAACATTCAGAGATATTCGCATATTACCTCACTTTGAACTCATACAAGAATACATTTTGAATTGAATCGTTTTTATAATGGACTAATTGTTTGATGTTTCTGTCACAATCAATCTTCATATAATATGTATAACTAATGTTTGTATAACATTTCTTTAAAAGTTTATTAGCGTGGATAAACAAGACAACTGACAAAATTGATTTTATGGTTTTGTAATAATGACATTAGATTATACTACTATTTTTTATTCAGAACATTCATTTTTATGAATTTGTTAGTCTCTCGATTTTCCACTTCACGATCTATATCAAGATAGCAAAAATCATGAATTCAATAACATTTTAGCAAGTAAATATGAATAAATAATGTTTCTTCTTTCATAATTGCATTAATTTTTTGAAATAATTGCGATCATAATAGAAATGGGACACTAGTCTCTAATTCTAAACAATCACAATCAAATAAATTAGCATTGTAAATATGATGGGCTTTTTTTTCAATTATCAATTGCTGCGTTTGATAACCTGATAATTTTTGATTCCTCCTTCTTCGTTTCAGATGATAAGAAACTGCCAGTGTGTATTATTAAATACTTTTAAATTGCTTCGGATAGCGATTACTAGTTGAAAAATGCAAAAATAAAATTTCAATATTATTCTTTTGTCAAACAAAGACGGTTTAAGATGGCTACATCGTGAACTAAGCACTCACATCTTAAACAGCGAAAATTCTCAAGTAATGAAAACAACTTTTATTTCTCATTTTTCCCTGCTCCCATTTTTTTTTCATCGCATTTTATTGCACTCATTTTTTGCTTTCTTGCTGCATTGTTTCATGAAATTATAGATATTGATCGAATTCTTTCTTCGTTGCAAAAGTGAGTTTTATGTTAATCTTACTTAAAATCTTCTATATGTAAATTGCATCCAGTGATTTGAATAAATTTCGTAATTATCTTGTAGAATTTCAAAGTTTACTTTAACAGATTGAACTGAGCGGTTTTTGAAGGTCGAAATGCTTCCAGCTTTGTCATGCAATTTACTGGTAGTGAGTTACTTTTCCTGTCTAGCTTTTGTTTTTGAAATAAATTCTTGTTAAGAGAACAATTATCGCTGTTGATGGTTATGATTGATAGTGGCCTTATATTCTTCTATGATTGTAAGGCATGTGGTAGTGATTCAGCGTATATTGTTTGGTGTGTGATGTGATATATATGAAGCATATTGATGTAAAATTCACTGGGCCTTTTGGTCATCAAAATGTGCTTACATTCATGCTCTGGCCTGAAAATTTACAATTATATTTGAAATTTCAAGAATTAATCATAAGTTTCAATTTTTATCCAAAAAATTTGTAGAATAAAGTGTTCCTGGGCACTTACTTTCAAGTAAAGCAAGCTTTCTGTTTGAATATTGTTCATTCATTCGAGATTTCAGATTCACTTCAATCATATTTGTTTATATTTCAGTGACTTTTATTTCACATCTTTTCATTATGAATCAGAAAGCTGAAATCTTTAAAAAATCTGATAATAATGTATGATAAAACATTGGTTTTCCATAATATAACTACGCTTTCTATTCTGTCTCAGATAATTGTATGCGCGGAATTGAAATGGACCCATAAAACCAAACAGAGCAATACTACGAGTACGACGACACAACCTATCATGTATTTTTTACACCTTAAGAAACTTAAAAAGTAAAAGAATAAGTGACATACGGGAGAAAAAATTCTCTTACTACAGTAAAAATAACTTTGCAAGCAGTACTTTTTTTTAAATCGAGTCTCATGCTTGCAAAAAAATATTAAATTTTGACTCTAACTCTTTCAGAGGCATACTTGTTCAAATTAGATATCACTTTGAATTCAAGTTTTTTCTGTGAATTAATTAAAGAAAGTATGAATTTAATATTGATGTAAGTAAAAGAGAAATAATATTTGCAGAGAGTCAGATTTTCAAGGATATATGATACAATATGACGCTGAAACAGGCTCATTTGGTAATAACACAGTAATCCCAATTAATAAAAAGACTGATTCGTCTATCAGTAGTCAATTTAGAGAACTCTGTGCCTCTCTAAGGCAATTTAAAGACGCAGTAGTCTTTGAGGAACTTCCACAAGCAAGATTTTATAATGCTTGGATTAAAGTATGTTACCGAGATATGCTTGTTTCCCTTTTTCAATTCACACAATCAAACAAATGTTTACTTGACCGCTACAAACTCTCGCTTTGAAATTTCATGATTATCTAAGTGTTTAACTAAACAAGTTGCTTGAAAAAACGCTTCTGTGAGAAATAAATCTTTCGTAATTTCAGTGTTGCCTTTAAACAAAGATTTTTCAAATCTACATTATATTTATTTTTGTTTATCTCATTTGAAAACTGAAAGTAAAAAAGAGAAGCTACTATATTTTTTGTTCAAAACTGTTGGACTTTTGAATTGTAGCTTCAGCGCCAACAATTTTTTACACTACTTGCCAAATGCTACTTCCACTGACCTGTAAACAAAATGGTCTCGAAATTTTTTGAAGCGTAAATCACTGTATCAGCTTAAAATGAGCTTGCAGTTTCCTTATTAAATTGGGATCAAGGATATATGATACAATTAACTTGAAAGATTTTGACCGTTATTGAAAATAACCTGGAATATTTTATTTTGGCTTTTGCTATTGTTTCAGAAATTTTAGCAATAATAAGTCATATTTTTTATCGAATAGAATTTTCGTGCTTTATGACCAATATTATTTTTGGTTAGCAAAAAAAAGAAAATTTAGAAAATTTTTTCAGGGTCAAAATAATGCATTAAACACCATTTTTGCGTGCTGTTATTATGATTGTCCTGAAAAGAAATCTACCTGGCTTATATACATGAAAAGCTATTATGCAAGAGGTCTTGATTATACTGTGAAAAGCAAGTGGGAAATAATTCCTACTTATCAAGGAGAACACTTATACAAGCAAGAGTACTACAGTTCTTATGATTCTGCTAACAAAATCGGGTCATGTATTGACAGCCGTGGACATTTGGTATTTTAATTGCTTTGTGACATTCTTGCATATTGTTTTCCACTATTAGTGAGGTTTACATTTAGCTTTCTGTTCAAAGACAAGACGGATATGCTTCGGTTAAGACCATTATCATCTACTCTATCAGCCTTCTATATTTATTGTTTGTTAAAATATCATTGAAGTAAGCAAGCACTGATTAAAAATCTTACCGAATAAAAATGAGGCAAATCTGAGCAAAAATTAGCTGTGAGTGAAATAGACATTCGATTATTTCTTTCATAATGCTCAAACTCTGCCCGTATTATTATTACTGACAAGAAATGTGATAAAATCAAAAATTACAGATACCACTAACTTTTCAAAATTATGTATGCTATATGGTAGCGCACGATTTTTTAAATCATTATGCTGTAGAAGGTTTAGCGGAACCGAGAAGTAAAGATAAAACTGCAATTGTAAATATGGGAAGGTTCAGCGGAGCGAAATTAAGTATCATGAATAAGCTGTCATGTACCAATACCTTTCAACTGCAAGCAAGTTTTCTTCCAATAAAATTACAAGTGGCGCTTTACAGAATAAGTTCATTCTTTATTTCAAGATTTGAGTAGATTGACAAAGAAAATACAGAAAAATGCAATATCCAGAGTACATGTGATGTATTTGAGACAGTAGTAAAAATTTTAAATAACGTATTAAAAGTTGTTTACACAATTGATAATGTATGGAGTTGTGACTATTACTGATGATTAAATGTCTATAAAGAGAAAATAAATTGTCAAGAGAAAAATTTTGTTTTTTTGCAAAAATTATGTTGCAAAAATAAGTAAATTGACAAACGTCAAAAATGTAATGGTTAAAATTAAAAATGTTTTGCATTAATTGATTTCTTTTTTAGAGCAGTAGTGAATGTTTCATTTATGTAATGATGAATTATTCATATGGTTATGAATGCTGCTGTTATGGCTACGATGCTGCTGCTTGCCAAGGTGCATTCTATAATTGAAAATCTACTATTTAAAAAGTCAACAAGAGAAAAAGATTATTACAGTTCTTTGATTCTAAAAAAGTTTTGACTTAGAGTTTTTTTATTTCAACGCTTCGTTAAAAATTATCCCGAATACATCCATAATTTATAATTAATCGTTCATTTATTTATTATTTTAATGCAGCGCTTTATAGCAGTAATCTATGATAATTCTTCATCTCTTTGCTTTTGACAGTATAGAAAAGTACAGTTTTAGACAAACTTGTGCAAGCAATTGACATAGGCAAAGATAGTGATAAGGATTCTACATCAAAAATAGTATGTGCTTATAGAAACTCTTCGGAAATATCTGGAAATGGCTTACAATATCACACAACTGTTGATGATTTTCTAAAGAACAGCAAGCAGTCGACGGTTTTCATATATTCTTAATTTATTATTATATGTATACAATTGAAAAAAGCTTCTGTCTCTGAACTAATTTTTTTTTAGTCAAAAAATTGAGTAAAGTCAAATATAATTTAATTTACAAAAATTTCATTGAAATATAAGTGTGAAAATGTATTCAGATGTGTCAACTGTATGTATTCAGAATAAGCTCTACTCCATTATTCTCTCGTAGTGAATTTGAAGTATCAGATTTAGCAGATCGAACTTTTTTCCGAATTAAATCTGAGCATTCAACTCTTCATTTAAACGTCAGCGCTCTACTTCCTAGTAATAACGCTGAGTTTATGAAGTCGAAAAGAATAACTTGGAAAAGTTATAATCACGACGCAAGAATTTATTTTGCATATAAATTTACGTGTTCACACATGCATGTTTGGGATGCTCGCGAAAGCTCCATTCTCTCATTTCGCTGTGCAGAACTCCTACGTAAGTTTATTATAAAATTAAATTGATTAAAGTTTGAGCTAAAATATCATATACTGAAGAAATGCTGTTTACACTGAAAGCGAGTTGAACAAAATAACTGACCAATTTACATCTTCAAAAGAGTAAAAATATCATAGCTGATTTACAAAACTATTTACTAATAACATGACTTCAGCTCTCTATGCACAGTGTCCATTTGAATCAGTATCATTAAATGATGATTCAAACAGATCTTATATTGAATGTTGCTGCAACGATCGCTCATTTTGCAACTACGAGGCAAAAAAAAAGCAAATTATCATCGTCAAAAATGAATCAGAAGATATAGCTATGCTTCATTTTGCTTCTTTGCAGCCAAATTCATCCTGAAATTTTATCTTATTCTTGCTAAAACTAAAGTTTGAAATAATACGGATTACCATTCTGCTGCACCTTCCGATGAAACAACTTTTCCTTTTAGCCATCTGTTATCAATAAAATACCTAGTAAGGGGCGATGCAGATTTAGCAGTCATTACCAATATATATATCAAAATCATTTGTATGCACAAAATCAAAATCAAGAAAGTTCGACTAATGACGGAACCTGTTTGATGCATTTTGCAAAAGAATCAATGATTTTTGATGTGTTTGGGTCTTCACATCACAATGAGAGTATATTCCAGCGTCTATATGTTCTTCCAGGTCGTTATTACTTACTCATTACTATTGTTCCATTACATATTTTCATCAAGTAATTTCATATTATTACTTTATATTTCGTTATTCTAATCTTCATCAAAAATTAAAAAAAAAACAACTTAGTTTTATCATTAAAAAACTAAATTTTTATCATTTTATCACTAACTTGACTTTTTGAGAAATTTAAGTAAAAGTTTTTATGGTAACATTTTTCCGGCAAATAGCATTTTATCTGAAGTTCTTGATTACGTTTCAGGTGGAGCACTGTCTCCGATTGATTTCACTTATGCATTATTAAAGACAGAGAACTGTCGATTTGCGGATGTCTTTGTAATTTTATTTTATTTCCCTTTAATGACTTAGTAATATCAGTGCTGGACATAAAATAATGATTTTACTTTTTAAAAAATGTAAAGATTGGAAGTTGAATGAATCAGCTTCTTATTAATCCATGTTATTAGATCATTTTATTCCCCGTTGTATAGAAGCCAATTCAGCTAAACGTACCATATATGGCAACACGAGAATGCAAATATTTTCCAACACAACGACATATTTTTAACAGCGTTAAAGCACGATTTCCCATCAGATTGATTGCTTGTAGATGCTCTACCAATTCAACAGCAGAGGCTTGTGATACTGCTAATGAACCAATTGAAATGGAATGGGTATGTTTTAGTTTTTGATTCTATCGTAATCAATGATTTCAAGCATCAATTTAATCCTTGCCAACATATGTGAAGTAGTCATCGTATGGTAGTTTCCTGTATATTTGAAATTTAGCAAATAATTGGATAAAGGTCGTTCAAGCATCTGCAGAATATTATGATCGAATATTTGTTGAACAAAATGACTGACAAAAATATAGGAAATGCAATATATGCATGAAATATTTGATAGAAACGTAGTAATCATGATGCGAAGGAAATTGATGACTATCTATTACTTTAGTTTCTTAAGTTCATTGGTTCCAGATCTATATTACATTAAAACACTGATTCTTGAGAATTTTATGTTGGAGATTAGTACTAAATTAAAGTAGTTATCATAATTTAAAATCCATATCAAAGCACGAATTTCTAAAAATTCATTATTTAGTTCAAAACCATGATTTTTGTATTTCATCAACATAATGTCTTCCTAATTCCATCATATATTATTTCAGCAAATATTATAATTAAATAAGTCATCTATTTATCATCGTCCATCTTATAAGCAATCACTATTTACAAGAGCAAGTTGAGATAGCTGCCAAACAAACGATAGTTGTTTTTATACTTTAGAGAACAGATTAGTTGAGTAAGAAGATAACAGCATCGAATTACTGACATTTAAAACTCAGCTTTTCTGATATTAAATAATTATGAAGCAACTTTAGTTTGCCCGATTTTTATAGTGATGAAATCCAGTTTCATTGCTACAAGTTATAATAACAAAATTCAGGTCTGTAAAAAATTGGACTGGTAACAGATGTGCAATTTTAGGAATTTAATTCAAAATAATGAAAAAAATATTATTTGTGAGTAATTAACATGTTCATACAGAACAATAATGGTATTTCCTTTAATCTCATCACAATTAATACAGGTAAATGGGCATGCTTGTGGTAATTACGAGAAAGATAAACTGAATTTTATCGAAGAAAACGTTACCAATAACTGGGTGACTCCGTTTTGCTATACACAAATATGGGTATATAATAGAGGTGCAGGTAAGCATTTACATACTTTCATCATCTTTAAACTTAAAAAAAGTAGCGTTGCTGACACGATGCCCAAAGGCATTTGATGAGAATTTCCAGGTACATGCATTACTTGCGCTTGCAAGCAAAAAAAAGAGATGCTGCATGATTTTGCTTCATATATATAGCTAGCTGCTTTTAATAGCACCAAACAGTTATAACTCTTTCTTTACTACTTTGTCGAGAAGGTTGAGACAGCTGCTAGACAACATTAGTTGCTTAATTACTGTATAAAAGCAATAATTTAATGAGACTTAATGAAAACGTTTTCAACTTGCTTTCTAATATGAAAGTTGAGAGAAATAATAATTTTGTATCACCCAATTTTTTCATTTTACAAGTTTTTTTTCCAAATGGTAATCACTCTGCAAAAATTTTTTTTAAGGAATTATGTACAAGACCAAAGGTTCCTCATTACAGCATTTGTATGAGTTGCAAAACAAATTTATGTCTGACACATTATTGTATATTACGCATGCTCTGTAAGTTAAACATTCATATATTTTTTGCACCATTTTGGAAAAAACGACGACAATCTAATTTTCCGATGCTGAAAGAAACAAACTCGTCATTTATGCGTGTAGTGAAGAATGCAATTGCAAACTAAGTTAAAAAGTTTTGAAAAAAGCATTAGAAAGAGTAACGTTGAAAAGTTTTAGAGTAGTATGATTTTAGATGGATAAATAAATAATGATTGACTAAATTAATGAATGAATGGAATTGCTTGAAAAATGAGCAATAAGCAACAAGGTGAGAATTGAATAGGAACGTGTGGAGATATGACATGTGGTACAAATAAAGCTTCAGAAGAGTGGAGAATTGTCTTAGACGTTATTGATAAACGGACAACTAAAAGAATGAGTGAATAAAAATTTGAATTGATAAATTGTCACGCATTACTGATGGTGAACGAGTAACAAAGTTAAGTAATTAGAGCGAGTGAGCAATATCATCATTACAAATACAAAAAAGGGATCTAGAGCTAATTAACTCTATTTTTACTGCATTGCATAGTACTAATTACTATAAGCAGTAAATAGTTGCTTTCATATAGAAGTGGTGATGTCTGGTCCAATTGCTATTTGAGTGAAGGTGGGGCCATTTGCCTGTGTCATGAATTGGATATTGAACTGTCAGAAGACGTTTGCAATGGAATGTCCAAGAGATATCATGCCCTCTCCTTTGCTTACTATGACATATTAGCTTCTTCCGTAAGTATTTTTATAACACGTATCTCTGCTAATTAACTATCTCACAATTGAGAGAATGCTTTCTAATGTGAATTGATTTCTCTTGCTTTGATTGTCTGCAAATTTATTGCGGTATATGAAGTTATTTCTGTGTTGAAATATTTACGATTTATCATTATTAACACCACTTTTTTATGGAAGCAAAAAAGTAATCAGTTTGCTATGAGAGATCGCTGCAAACTCTCCTTCCTCCTTCATATCTTTATCTCTGAATACTTCAAACTTTTACCAAGTTTTATTTTAAAGGTCTGGCGTTATGAAAGAAATCCTTTTGCTTCACTGACTGATCAAAAAAAGTCACCCAAAACTTGCATGTTACCGTTGGTATTTGCTAGTATTGAAGTGAAAGGTTTGCTTTATTTAAGTTTCAATATAGTTACCAGCATAACTAATAATACATACGTGCTAAAGTTACTATGACTTTGCATACTAATTTTCGAAGAAAGAGGAAACAGTGAGAGATGTTATTATACAATTTCGATTAATTGTATCCGTTGAAAATTTTACCGCTATAGAAGAGTGATTGGGTCTGTGCCGAATGTGATGTTTAAAGTAAAAACATTGAGTGAGTGAAAGAAATGAAGCATTCGAAATTTTCACGCTCTCGTTTTGTCAATGAAGTTGCAAGTTTTGTAGGAAATGAAGCTGTTATGTGGAGTGATTGTGCATACCAAACTAAAAGTATACAAGATGATAACACAATCGGTAATTTGTATTTTTACAATTTTCATTAATTTCTGCAAAATTACGCTTGTTAAATGGATGAAAAGAGTAAAAAAGCAGTTAAACCTATCTATTTTGCGATTTTTCAGTAGACATTTTGCTGGCTTGTATAATTTGCAGCAATTCAGAATTGATGTACTGCACAGAGTACCTTGTGATGGATGAATGTATGGTACGCGTGTATCATGCAGAAACAACCGAGCAATATTTAGTTTGCTGCTGCTCAAACTGTGATCTCACAAGTGCTTTCATTGCTCGATTACATCACAGAATGTTGGAACAGATCGAACGTGATAGTCGCTTGAAGGATTGAATACCAGCATACATTGTACAATTCTGATGTCAGATCAATGAGATTTTTATGACTTAACAGTAAAGTTAAAATGATTGAAACTTAATTTTTTATTAAATATATAAATAGAAAAAAAGGCATCTATATATATGCATATTTATGGTTTTTGTTGCACAATCCAAATGTGAAAATTTTGAATTAGTAAACAGATATTGAAAGGTTGCGTGACTGCTTATGACACGTATATTAATTGCTTAATACCGTACTAATGTTAGTGATGCAGGGGAGCATTATTTGACTCTGAGTGATAGAAAATTGTCAGATTACATGAAAACAACTAGTAATGCATACTTTATATTTACATTAAAATTTTTTATAGGGATATGATAACGTAATATAATCTTATCCCCTTAATCTACTGTTTAGTAAAAATTCCCTGATCAACACTTAATCTGGAAACTTTCATCAACATTCAGTTGGAAACGCATATATGAAAACGTATATATGAAAATCTGCAGCATTCTTCAAACTTATTTCTTTCACGAGAATATCGGAGTTGTTCGAACTGTGATTTTCATATTACATTAGTAATTTCCTGCATCATCGATCTGTTACTACATTAATTTTGTGGAATTAATAATGCTTCTAGCTTGTGAGGTCTCAAAATACCACTAGAAAAGCATAGATAGTCCCCGAAACATTTTATATCCAATATTTCTAACAACAAAAGTGCAATATCATTTCCTGCCCAGCTTTTAAGCTAAGGAAATTGATAAAGAATATAATCGTGGATAACAAGGTTCTATCAAGAATTACAAAATGATAACAGTGTTTCGTTAATTTTTTGTTTAAACTATCAGAATGCATTGAGCAATGAAAATTGGAAAAACCTAAGTGTGAATTGAATGAAATGGCCCAACTGCTTGTTTATATAAATTAGTGACTGATTAATTCTAATAAAATTTAAATTTATCTCTAAATGACTGTATACAATGTAACTCAAATTTGTTAAAGAATACTTAAATTTTTAGGATCATGATGTGTGATCAGAGCTCCTTTTTGGTATTTTTTTTTCGTTTAATTATTTCATTTTCTTTCAAACGATAATGGAAGAAGTGTAAAAAAACACCGGTTTATGCTAGCCAGTGAGATTCGTTTAATATTTTATACCTATAACTGAATTTTTTTCAAAATTACTAAACAAAAAATTTCAAAAAAATCATATTTCAATTTATAATCACCATGGATACTGAGAAAATTTTTAGCATTACCTAAGACTAATTGCTCAGACAGTCAGAAAGTGGCATATTCACTGATTACGTTTATCTTTTAACTGTCACAGAATAATACAAAGAAGTTTGCAGTCGAGTGGAGAAGAAATAAGGTATTTAGAGACTAAAAGTTATTGCACTAATTTAGAGATAGCAGTGAGCAGCAGTTCAACACAATATGTTGGTTGAACTCATGGATAAAATGATGTCACAGCATGTAATATAATATTCACAATCAAATTATTCAATCTGATTGTGAATATTTTTAAGAAAATGGAACTCATCGCACAATTAGAATGGAAAAATCTCGCTATTACTTCATTTAAACATCGTATACTTCAAAACATAACACATTTTGCACACTTCTTTCACATTACATCATTTCTGGATATTAAGCTGCACCATTTCTTGTCAATTGAGCTGTACTGTTTGGTTTCTGAATCGGCGCGATTTCAAGTATATTTAGATTTTTTGGGCGTACGGGTCTGACGTTTTGACGTGTAAAGTTCATGTAAACTGCGAATACCTCAAGTCCCTGCAGATCGAATACGTGTAGTATGTTTCCTTATTTATTTTATGTCAGCACGAGCATATGTTTCATTTCAATAGCAGTTGTGGTCATAATTTCTCAATGCTACGAATGATGAAATATGTTTACGCCATTTAGTATTATATGAGACATTGTGAATTTGCTTCCTCTTATCACTTGTTTCTAGAAACTTTCGACTTTAGAGCAGCTGCCTCGTATTCTAAAATCCTTGTGTACGTGATTGCTTACGTCTCAGCAGTAAATATTTGAATTGGTGTTTATAAATACTTAAGTGAGTGTTTTTTTCCTAAAGTGTAAGTTGCTCACGTTCTTTGCTGTCACTGACTCCTTTTCACTCATAAATGCCTATGCTCGCTAACATCTGTTTGTAATTGTTAAGTAAAGTCCAATGCGTGAATTATAATGCCCACCTGTAACCATTTTTCTTAAGCCAAATGCACAAAGGTGACAAGATTATTTCGTATGAATACGGGTTGAATTTTAACGTAACATGCTAGTTGCTAAAAGTTCTGTTAATTTGAATAAACATTTCCTCATAAATTTGTTATACATATATTAATTTTCGTTTTCATGAACTTTTATGCCTAGCATGTTGTTATCTTATATATTATATAAAAATAATTTCTTGTTACGAAGTCAAGGAACTTGCATTTCTTCGCATTTATGCACATGTTAAGTATAATAATCAATATTATGATTGAAATCACAAGTATTCAAGTTATAATGAACTGTTTTGATATTATAGACAATGTTGAGCTACATGTCTAGTTACTCAGTCAGTGGTGAATACTCTGTGGCATTGAATTCTGTTTTATAGGTCTTATTCTAGATATTGTTATGTCATACCAGTACTGTTTAATGTATTACAAAGTTTTAGTTGCACGCAGTACATTGTTCTTAGCGTATTATTTCGTGCACTGATTGTTGTATGTGATTTTTTTAAATGCTATAAAATTTTACTTTGGAATCAAACTTTATCAATGACTATGCCGACATCCATCAGAAAATGATTACAGTTGCTTTCCTTGTTAAATTGAAATGAATTTCGATCCTTTAGGATGTTAATTTGTAGAATTTTATGTCAACAATGTCTGATAATATTAAACGACAAATTCAATCACAGAAGCAAAGGTCACAGCAACATTCTGAACGAATTATTACACATGAAATGACCGACGAGACACAGGTATCTATAAAAATCATACATTCAGTTAATTTTTATCGCTAGTTTTTTTATTGATATTGTCTTAGTTAAGAAATTTTTCGCTGTATAGTTCCTTAAATAATTTTATAATGTTTCTAAAAGTCTACTGTTCATTGCTTCTTACACTGATGAAGTTTTTTGGGTCCATCAGTAAAGGTAATCTGTGAAATAATTATATATATTATAAACCAACATCATTGATACCTTGTCACACAAACGTTTTTATCCGATATAAAGCTTTCTATTTAAACGAATTCTCATGGTATTATCCAAAAATTTTTTATGTAGGATATTGATGACATGTTTTATAAAGATGATGATTATTGACCAGACTTGGACTATCATTTTCATAATTTTTCTGTTGTCAAGTTCTATTTTTACAATTTAGATTTATGAAGATGTCATAGAAGAGACTGACGTTGGAGACGATGTTGAAGATGTTTCAGAATATCGATTTCGAGGTGTTATTTATGTAAACATTAAGTTTAAATGATATTTACTATTGTATAATTAGAAAAAAAAACTAATTTATAAGTGTCACCTAATTCAACAGCTATAAATAAACACATGAAAGCAAAGTGCATTCTGGCCACCTTATTCGACTTTGAACGAGCTTTTTTTAGTTGATAACTCCTACAGAACAAGCTATATTCCACGAATTAGTAGCGTATCATCAGCTGGAAATTCACAATTACATTACAATGATTCACAGCATCAAAGGGTGAGTGTTCAGAACTTACAAGTCATTTTTAATGTCATGTTAGTCCTTGAATTAATAACGAAATAAATGCACTTTGTATGCATTTATGAAAGCAGTATATTCTACCACGCTTTTATGAACTTGTAGGCACAAGGATATCTGTAACTTTTGAGTACTCTGTTAATAGGCTTATAGTAACAGCGCTGGCACTCCATATAATTGGTCAAAATATGTAGGTCAAAAATTAAACTTCTGTTGTAAATTTTAGATCAGCAGAGAACCAAGCAGTAGTCAGTTTTACAACAGTGAAGTTGATCAACTTCAGTCAACTCATGGGCGTGCTGTACCTGCTCATGTTTTTGCGGTTCGTGGGAATCGTGTAAGGGATCAGATTTTATTTTCAAAATTTTTTTGCTGTAGAAATTAAAGGATCTGCACGTTTTTTTTTTGTTTTTATCTTGCTCATTACTAATTTCAGTATTTTTTTATTCGATGGGTTATTTATATCAAACACCAGAATGCTGAAAATATCAAGATTTCAAAAATTTGCATTAATATAACTTTTTCAATGTTTAGTATAGAGAAATTTTGAAAGGATCAATTATGATATGAAAATGAGATTCTGTTGTTGGTTAATGCAGTTGTAATTCTACGAAGTCCTTAATGACTTGCTTTGTTGCTACAGATATATCGCATCGATCGGTCAGGTGGATCGACCACTTCCACACCAATACGAACTCTCAACGAAACAATGCGCAGGAGTGGATTGCGTCAAGAAAATGAAATTAGCATTGTTAGCTTTTTTGATATGTATTTTACCTCTGAAGTTCAAATAAATAAAATTACTGGAAATTTGCATATTTTCAGGTTTAAAAAGCGTTTTAGCAATGTAGTTTTAGTCAGAAGATTTGTGCATTTACCAATTTGATTTTTCATTTTCGGGTTGATTTTCTTGTGACAAGCTTATTTTCAGTTTATTTAAAATGATTATTTATAGAAAAAAGAACTAAATTGGCAGAAACAAGATGTGCCATCGAAGTCAAAATTTGTGAGTTCTTCTCTTAGTCCACCTTTAAATTATCGATCTGCGCAAGCTCGTATTCAACATAATCGATTGCTCGCTCCCTCGATGCCTTCAAAATTGGCTCCCAAGAAGTTTTTATTTTAACTTCAAGTTTTCTGTTTCTTCGATTTTTCTCCGCATGTTTTGGTTTTAATCACCCTGATGATCCAAGCTACAATTTTTCTTAAATTTTGTTTTTTGCTCACAATTTATCTGTAGACAGTAGCCTCTGAATATATTGAAAGTAATTCATGTACTGTTAATGAGCGCTATGAACTAAAAGAAAATAAAGTGTTTCGTATTACTATAGACGACCTCTTGGATCAAAAAAGCCTTGTCACTGTACTCGCTCAATGTGCCTGAAACTATATTGTGACTGCTTCGCAAATGGTGAATTTTGCAATGAATGTGATTGTAAAGACTGTAAAAATACGATTGAATATGAAATCGAAAGAACGCGTGCTATAAGGTTATCTTTGGAACGCAACCCTAATGCATTCAAGCCAAAAATTGGTATTGAATTATATGAATTAAGTATTTTTTCTGCTTATCATTTTATCAAAAAGCTGCCTCACACTATCACTTCCTCTTTTTTGTGGCTAATTTATCACTTTAATGAGCATTTAAAGCTTTAAGAAAAACCGTTCATCATCTCTTTAGTAGTCATTCTAGTATTTTTTTCCTATCGTGAGATTTGGTTTTTTGTAAACTTAAATTGCAATTTTTTTTCATGTTAGCTATATTTACAATAGGTGTTGCGACTGATAGACAGATAGAACCGGAAAGATTACACCAGAAGGGATGCCACTGTAAGAAATCAAATTGTTTGAAGAATTATTGCGAATGTTATGAAGTAAGTATTTTGTTCTACTAGTAATATAACGAGCCATGTAGACAAATGGTGTAATCAGTATTGATTAAAAATCAGATCAGTAAGGAAGATATTTTTTGAAGTGGCCAGCTATTCACTTTATCATTTAAAACAGAATTGTTCCTGTTACATCTTCAGGCCAAAGTCCCTTGTACTGATCGGTGTAAATGTATATGTTGTCGGAACACGGAATCAGATCGAGCCGCACGTTTGGCAAATTTAAAGCCTCCAATGGTTTTGGCTGATTTTCGTGCAGCGATTGCAGCAAATAATATTGATGTTGTTAAAGATATGGAATATAGTGAAGATGACGATGATGAAGGCGATCGTAGTAATAGTGAACCACACGACCCTAAAGCGTAAGTCTGTTTTGGCATACACAAAATTCATTTTAACTGTACCGTATGATACCCATTGTAAGTATTTATTATGAGTGATGTGAAAGAATGAATTTGGTTTCCACTCCAATGTTTATTTGTTTTTGATATTGCATTCATAAATGTTTATAGGACTATGAGAGTTCCAGAAAAACATCTTGTTTTTAACTGAAAGTTCAAGTTCTCTTTAATATTTTGTGTGGTACAGAGCTAGAATATTCATTATATCCAAATTATACCTCAGGTTGCCTTGGTTTTATATGACGGATGAAGTAGTGGAGGCTGCAACTCTTTGTCTTGTAGCGCAAGCAGAAGAAATGGAATCTAGTGGGCTTTCATCACAGGTCGAGATTGAAAAAGCAGTTCTGCAAGAATTTGGCCGCTGTTTAGGACAAATTATTGACAATGCTTTAAAAAATGGAGGTAGAGCTGTTTAAAAGTAGATTTGTGGATTTTCTTCGCTTGTGTTTAAAAATAGAATGTAAGATCGTGATTAATTCATAATTCTTTTATAATTTCTTAAAGGAAGCATGTTCGTTTATATTTTTTTCTTTGGATCTTAAAATTGTTTTCAAAAATTTTTTTTTCGCTCTTTGTTTTTGTCATATCAGTGAGTTAATCTTGGAAATTAAAAGTAATTGGATGTTTGTAATATTTACTTAAAGTACTTTGTCTTAGATTTCTTTTGAACAGAAAGGGACAGGCATCTTTGTTGTACTGCCAAAGAGCTGCTGCATGATTTTTTTGTTTAATTCATTGTAATGTTCTATATTTATATTTTTTATCATGTATGCGTCATGTTGTTAACATATTTGGAAATTACGATAAACTGGAATGGGCAGAGTATTGATTTTGTTTCATACAATTGGTATATGAGGTATTTGAATTTGATATCATAAATCCAGGTTGCTTAGTTTTATTTAATTTCTTTTGTTCACAAATACATGGTCTTATTTGTTGCAGTCTATCTACTTTGTTTATTTGTTTCTATGTTTTCAGATATATTTTCAATATTTCATCTTTAAAAAATAGTTTTTGTTCAGAACTTATGTGTGACTGAGCATTTTGGAATATATTAATGTGGAAGGATAAAGAAAATATTTATGGGGCTTACTGTTGTGTTTGTGTATTGTGCCATCGATAAATTGCGTTTGTCAGTACAGCACACATATTTTCGAGTTGTATTTCATTTCAGTATTTCCGATCAAGTTGCTAAATTAAAATTGGTGGGGGAGCTACTAATTGTATAGTACATAAAAGATGCATGTTTTCACTGCTAAATTTTGTTGCGGCATTTTGCTGTTCAGTAGTAAGAATGAAGTGAAGGATATTTGCTGTGGCGAATCGTGTTCAGTAGGGTATGTGTTATGTAGTGCAGAAGACTCGTAATTTATGATTGCAGTATTTACAACTAAAATTGGGGCTTTGTACAGGCAAGCTGTATCAAGGTTGTAGTGTGCTAAACTAAGATCAACTGTTAAAGGGAAGATTTTAAACATGGGGGATTTAAGTTAAATATGAGTGTCAACTCAGTATGGTCCAAGCTATTGTTTTGATATTTTTTAAAATCTAGAACGAAATGACGTAACTAATGAATTTGTAAAATATCTTTTAAACAATTGTTTCTTGCTAATCTGACCTCAAACCTATATCAAAATAACGTGAAATTAGAAGATATAAATGACCTAATTGTTTACTTCAGTAAAGAGTATCAGCAGCAAATCAGGTATTCTGTCTTATTAAATGCAAATTCCACATGTATTATGCATTAATTTTCGTATTATGTTCTCGAATGTAATAATATATGGAATTAAAAAGTAGAAAACAGGGGACCGAAGAATTCTCATACATTAATCGGAGACCCCAATACAGAAGTGTGCTTCACTGTGTACTATGGTCCTGGGGAGTTATAGTCTAATTATATTTGAATTTCAAATTCTTATGAAATGGAGTACGAAACGACAAGTTTTCAGATAAATTTTGACTGTAGGGAAAGATTTAGAAGCAAGTAATTTCAAGTCTTTACTAGTGGTAATTTGTAATATTTAATTTTTGATGCATTCTTGAGAATCATTTCGTATAATTAGGATGCAATTTTGTCAGTTAATGGCAGAAACAGTCAGTTTTGTGTTTAAAGAATAGAGTGATTGATATTCGTCATATCAATTGCTTGTGTTCCGTTTACTAATAACTAGTTTGAATAGATTAGATGGCAATAAAGGTGATGACAACATTGGTTTGAATGGCTGGGATGTCTCTTATGTGCAGTTGATAAGAAATTGTGACAAGTGCTGTTTCTTCGAGACTTCGTATCTTTTTCTTCTGTTTGGATTTATTAAAAACACTATATTAAATCAACTCAACCTAGAATAAGAGACATGATGTAGAGTAATGAAGAGTTGTATTAAATGTTTACATTAAAAAAAGAATCATATTAAATCTTTATTGATGTAAGCTTGTTTGAAGAATCGTGATGATTTCATTTGGGTTTTATATTTAAGGAGTTGTAAAAAGTTTTGATAAATTTCGGATATATTGAGAAAGATTCTTCATCATCCATATCCGTTTAATAAAGCAAATAATTTATCAGTGTCAAAATTGATTGAGTGATTATTATTTTGCAGTCAAATAAATGAGATGATTTCCATGAAATACTGGCATATGATATTGGTAGGTGTTTAAATATGTTGGAGTATACACGGAAATAACCGGTTATCAAGTAATGATTTTATTTTCCTCATTTCGTTTATCGCATTACTGATTATTGCGGGTATTTGTAAACTTCATTTTAAGCTAACTTTTTTATAGCTTTGCGAATCTTCAAATTAAATGCTTGCAATCCTAGCCTAGGAGACGGGTTTTAATGTATTGATTGATAAATTGAAAAAAATCATGAGAAATTTAGATGTCAATGTAATGATGAGTGAATTGATTGCCAACGCGTGGAGTATTGAGTTTTCAAATTAGTCCACAATATTGTACATAAAATGATGCAAGATTTGTAATTTCATTTAAAAAAATTATACTTAGTGATGAATTTTTGCTGAATTCATAGAGATAAATTGACATGAGCCCAATACAAAATTAACAACTCCATAGTTATATTGAGTTTGCGTTCATTCAAAAGCTTATCATACTTTTTTGGTAACAGAAACGGAAAAATTATTTAATATTTCATCTCAACATGCGATGTTATTGGCCAACGCTGGACAAAAGACTTGCAAAAGTGTTTGCGTGGTATACAGGTAACTACTTGGTTGATTATTACCCTGTGTTTATTGCAATTCCTCTGTTGGTTACGGGTGTACTAGGGATGGGCTTTATTTGGATTGAACAATTAACATTACTTAATGCTAAAAAGCTGTATACACCAACATCAGCACCTGCTTGGAAAGAAGAAAGAATTATGCGTGAGGTAAGTTAGGCAGAACAATTGTTAATGATATACTCAAATGGAGCTTACGACTATTTATTTTAAATATAGAACTCTTAGTGTTAATAATAAAATTAATAATGATAAATATGAGCATGTATCATGAACAACTAAAATCTAATGAATCCATAACCATTCCCAATGGCGGATTGAATATATAACGCTTTTTAACTTTGAAATTTTTACCACAGAAAATAAGAAATATTAGCACAGTAACATTGAAACACGTTTATTGTGAATTAGTATTTTATTACATTTTGATACTAATTTATGATGGTTAAAGATTACTATCATACACAATATTATCAAATAATTGGAATAGTAGCACATTTAGCTAATATTTTTGAACCTGCAACTGAATTCGATTTTTAATATTAAAAAAAGTCCTACCTCTGAAAATAAGCAATTCTGATTAGCATTAAACAGCAAGAAATTTTTAATGAAAGCTCATAAATTTAAAAGAATGGATCTAAAAATTATATCGTTATATTAAAATCTGACGCAGATTAAAATCATCTGAATGAAATTTTCATTCCAAGTTATGGCCTATTCGTTTCGAAGAATTTCTACCTGAACGAACATTTGAATGGAATCGTTATTTGTATGTGGTAGTACATGGACGCAAATATCCAAATAATACATATCCAAACATTCTGGATGCACTATTTTTGGATGAAATAGAGTTGTTAGAAGAAAGTATTGCAATGAATGTATCATTTAAAATGAAGAATAAATGGCGAGCAAATAGTACAAGATTGTTCAATGATACCATTTATTACCAAGTATTTTTTCAATACGATAATAACATTTAAAAAGTGGTTACACCGTGATGTGCATTTTTCATTTATTTTTCCAGTAAGATTATGTATAAATTATTACTATTATTGTTCAAGGATATTTGTATGAGTTGGTATGGAGAGTGTTATCGTCAGACCAATTTAATAAAACTGCTTCAAAATCGTTATCAATTAGAAAAACATGGTATTGATATTACTTTTCCACGTGCTAATACTGGTGGCACGCCTGTATATTTGGCTTATAATATTGGTGGTGTCAAGGTGCACGATAATGACACAATCAAGGTGATGTATTTTTAATGATCTATTTCTCAAAATTAATTCACTATTATCGATGTCGATACATTTAACACTGGTTAAGCTACATAATTATGCCGTCAAATTTACTAAATTGACAGCATAAAAATAATGAATAACATTTCTAAAACCAGTTTTATCTGCAGTTCAAATTCATTATTAAAAGTGGCAGAAATACAAAATACTGTAAGCGACCTTTTTGCCACGAAATTTCTAGTCAATCACAACTATCATAATTGTTTTTACTCTTTCTTTAATTGCAATGATTTCGATAAATATCTAGAGCTATTGGATTCCGTCATAATGTAATCATTATCTGCTTACTTAAACTGCATTGAAATAGATGAAGATATACTAATGGAATTAGCATTCATTTACCTTTTAACATTGAACTGTTACTAAAAATTCATTCATTCTAATACTCAAAAATTATTTATTTAATGTCGTCGAGAATGCATTTATTTTTAAAACTAGTTTTATTAAAAAACAAAAATTATAACTATGAATTACCAGTATTTGCTTAACATTGTTATAGTAATCAAATATAATTTCTTGAGATGCTTGTAATTGAAATTGTTTTTACAGTTCTATTAAATTTCTATCATCGTTCCTTACAAAACAAAAAACGAATGCGATTAAAACTATTGCTAAATTATCCATATAATTTATATTGTCGATAAACTTCAGGCCATTTTTTATGATGAGAAACTGCAATAATTCACCCATTATCAATATAGCTGAGACTACTCTCACTAATTTTGTGAATTGTCATGAAAAGATAATTATTAATATAATAATTACTCAAATTCTTGCTGCTGCCGTTAATATTAAATAAGTATGTGAATTAATTTGTCGTTTCGTTTATCAAGAAATAAAATGATACAGAGCTATTTTCACACTTTCTGATGAATTATTTTATTTAATCTATTAAAATCTAATTGCTCCTCAGACCACTTCGTTTCATTTAGCGAAGCACAAAGACGTCCGGTCGTGAGGGTTGGAGATTCAAATTCGAGAGAGGGCTGAATTTACCTCTTCGCGAATAATTAGTGCAATATTGCAATATAATTGTTTGCTACGTTTTGCTCTTTTCTCGGATTTGTTAAGATTTTTAACCGTTAGTTTGCTTTCTGTTTTCTGGAATTACATATTGCAGTCTGCAGAGGGTATGCGTTTATGGTATTTTTTGCGGTTTGATAGCTCAGAATTTGATGAGATGGCAATTGCTTGGGAAGACGCAGCAGCTGAATACATCACGCAAAACTTTTGGAATAACTCACTGATTGAGGTATTTTACTATAAATTTACGAGTTTATTCATTATTTTTTTGAATTACATTTTTACCGCTAGTAAAATATAAAAAATATTTCATAACTCACTTGAAAATTTTGGCTTTATAATCTGATCAGACCGGTAATTTCAAAATATCACGAATTATTATTTTTGTGCAAAAAAAAAGTTGAATGCATTAGAGGAAAATTCAGTAGATGTTATCTTGAGGACATAAATTTAAAATCAATTTATATTTTGCATAAATTTATCATATTTTAACAATATCAAAAGTCCTTAAGTTAAAAATTTCGATTTTTATAACAGCACAATAATAACTGATTCTTGATTTCTTTACCAGTGGTTATCCCGCTAAATTTCTCACTTCTTTTTTCATGTTTATAATTAATGATTTGGTTAATTACTGCAATAAGTTAAATAATTATACTAATACTTTCTGATACCGTAGACGTAAGGGCAAACTCAAAAGAACTATATGACATTTTTGAATATAAAATAATTTGTTTCTGCATAAACAGCGGTAAAAGTAAAAGAAATTTTAGGCTATCAAGTATCATGATATTTATAAACACATGAACTTATATAAAAGAAAGTAATAATTATATAAAATAAATGTACCTCCAAGAAGCACTCAGATCGGTATAGAAAAACTATGTCGATTTGAGTGCTTCTTGGAGTTAAATTTTGCAAATAGGAAAACTAATCATGTACTTGCTCTGTTTGATTACTTTCACAACACTCTTTTCATGATCTAAGTTTTTTGCTTTATTCGCCACATCTTTTGCTTGCAGGTCTAATTAATTAAGTTTGTACAGTACCTGATTACTGGGTTTTAATCAATTAATTTAGCAGTTTCAGGTTCATATTCAGCATTCTCGTATTATCGATCAAGGGCTTACACGCAATGCTAATCGTCTAAAACCATATTTTTCTGTTACTATTATTGTGCTAATTATCTTTACCACTTTGAATGCAGTTAAATTGAAATATTCTGATGACAGAGGATTATGCTTTGGTTACTTTTCACTTGTATCGCGAAAACTGATGAGCATTTTAAGTAATATACAGAAAATATTGCAATCTCAGATTCTACATCACATTACGGAACACAACTCTATATGGGAATACATTTTATTATGTTGAAAGATAAAAAATTACACCTTGTTTGTCAAAATAAGAAAATTTGTTTGTTACCCACTAATTAACTATTTCCATTTTCAAATAGTCCTGAAATATTTGAAAGGTGTACTTTTTAGGGATGTAGATGATTACTGCACATAATTGTGACAGAAGAAACCGAAAAGTAATCTCTAGAAATATAATTCAATGCTTACAATTTCATCTGAACAAATGCTTATTAAATTAGAACTGATTCCAGTTTCTTAACCAATACTTACATTTGTAGTGTGGATTGACTGGCTTCGATCAAAGCCACTGCTTGCTTTGAGCGGTGTTTTATCATCAACGTTAGCAATTATTAGTGGTATTGGTTTACTTTTATGGTGTGGAATGTTTTTCGCCGAAATTACTCTTGTTGCTCCATTTTTAGTTCTTTGTAAGGCTTTATTTTTTAAATTGTGAACAGTGAAATATCAGAGATTTGCAGCTGTAGTTTTAGGTTTTATGGAATGGATCAAAATATTATTCAAAATTTAGACAAGATAAAGTTTTAATTGGTTGAAGTATGATTATCCGAAAATTTAAATTAATTGCATGAATTAGATGAGCGATAATATTAATCCAAATTTTCAAGCATCTGATATAAAAATCTAATATAGCATCCGAAGCATCTAATATAAAAACGAGAGCATTAATTAATCACTTGTTGCATTAGCTGTGCAATAAGCAATTCCCTGTGTAATATTTAGGCAACATCAATAATATGGTGAACAGTAAGCTATCAGGAAGTAGTGATTAAATATTTGTGATTGATTCTGAATTATTAGATGGATAAAAATGTGTACTAAAATGCATTGAAGAACTGAAAAATTAAATTATAAGTTTTGTTTATTTATGCACTCAATCTTAAACTTCTTGAATTTCACTTTTAACTATGCATTGCAATTAAAATATATATTGCGCTTATATTAATTATGTTTTGGTTCATATCAATTTAAATTTTATAGCTATCGGTGTAGATGATATGTTTATAGCGGTATCGGCATGGCATGACGCGGAAAAAATATATCCTGGTGATTATTCTGTCTTAGCAACAGATGGGCATACTCAATTACTTGAAAATCATTCTAAATCGACCATGATATAGCCTTTTATAGCATTAGACAACTTTTAGTACCTTTGATTATAAACTGTAATTTTATTATTTTTAAGAAATAATTAAATA